TGAGGTTGCTGTGAGCTAGGCTGACGCCACGGCACTGTAGCCCGGGCAGCACAGTGAGACTCTGTCTCAAAATAAATAAATAAATAAATAAATAACTTGTTTGTACGCTCTATCAATTTTGTGGAAAAAGAATTACATGACATCAAAGATTAAATTCTTATTCAGGTTGAAAATAAAGTGGCTATTTTGCTTCCATTCACAAATTTTCTCCTGTTTAAAAAATAGTAAAATAAAATCCCTCAATCTACCTTTCCTTAAAAAAGAACAATAATCCTTCCCAATCTGGCCACTAGGGTGGTCAAATCATCTTCTTCTAACAGTCTGGGGAAAACTTATTTGAAAAATGGAAAGCAAAAAAAAAAAAAAAAATTCCCTGGTTTAATGTCTCAAATTTCATCAAACACATATATTGAACACTCACAATCTGCAAAAAGGCAGTAACCAAGTTGGTCTTCTCCAGTGCATAACAAGAGCCTAGCACAGTGTCTGACACAGAGCAGGCAGTACATATCCAATGCATATTCGGTAAATGAATAATATGCAACAGGTATTATAATGAAAATATGCATAAAACAATCCAAGCCCTTCATAAGGCTTAAAATTTAGTAGAGGCAGATATAGATTTGATTAAAATAATTCTTCCAAAAATCATTAGTCTTTCATTTACAAATGGGTAACTAATTTACATACTGCAAATTATGTTGTTTGATTAAAAAAAATGCCTCCTAATCAAAGACATCCCAGGTCACAAATTCTACCTTAGATTTAATTTACATGGCTAATTTTAATTATAAAAGTGCTTTCGCATTACTTAACACATTCCTTACCACTACCCAAGCATTTTTAGTGCCAATTTAAAGATGCAAAAACAGAGGCTTAGTGAGAATAAACAACTTAACCAAAATTCTACCTATTTCAACAAGGATTTGATACATTTTCAGTCAAACAAAATAATTTCTTTGATGTATCCTAAACTTGCAATAAAAAAAAATCTGGTGAAAAATAATATCACCACTAAGAAATTCATCTAAATAGGAAATTTTTTGAATTGGCATTGCGTACTTTTTGTTTTTGATACTGTTTTACCTTTTTACAAAATACATGTACGTTTTAGTTTCCTGGGTTGTCATGTTACAACAAATTTCTATTTTAAAAAAATAACCTACAACACAACCAGTGATTTCTCCAGTCTTTACATATATAAGAGTCACTATCTATAAAAAAAAAAAATTGAATGTGTCTATAAGCATGAGTCAAAAAGTAACATATAGAAAAGAGAGAGAAATGAGGTTATTCCTCAGTATCTTACTCCTATTTTTACTTGCTAATTCTCTACTAGGAAGATAAATGAATAATGGCTATTTCATCTGTAAGTCCAAAAGAGCTAAGAATGACTTCTAACATTATATTAATTTTATCCTACAAGACAATTAAGTTCATTAGAAAGTGATTTTAGGTCGGGCGCGGTGGCTCACGCCTGTAATCCTAGCTCTCTGGGAGGCTGAGGCGGGCGGATTGTTCGAGCTCAGGAGTTCGAGACCAACCTGAGCAAGAGCGAGACCCCGTCTCTACTAAAAATAGAAAGAAATTAATCGCACAACT